CCTGCGTGCAGAAGGTGGGCCTGCGTGCCCTGCGTGGGAGAAGGCGGGGCTGCGTGCCCTGCGTGAGAGGAGGGGCGGTACGTGCCCTGCGTCGGAGGAGGCGGGGCCACGTGCCCTGCGTGGCAGGAGGCGGGGCTGCGTGCCCTGCGTGAGAGGAGGGGCGCCGCATGCCCTGTGTGAGAGGACGGGCGCTGCGTTCACTGCGTGAGAGGAGGCGGGGCTGCGTGCCCTGCGTGTGAGGAGAACGCTGTGTGCCCTGCGTGAGAGGAGGCGGGGCTGCGTGCCCTGCGTGTGAAGAGGGGGGGCTGCGTGCCCTGCGTCAGAGGAAGGGGCTGCCCCGACCAGCATTAGAGGAGGGGAGGCCACGTGCCATGCGTGAGAGGCGGGGGGCCACCGCACTCTGCATCAGAGGCCGCAGCTTCACTCTGTTAATGCAGACGCGCAGGTGCCATGTCACTTGGAACTACCGCGTCCCTGCCAGTGATTCAGACCTTCCTGTTCTCCGACCAGAGGCCCCAAGAGCGAGTGAGGCCTGCCCATCCCAAGACCTGAGGCTATAGTGACTGAGACCTTCCTGTAGCCAGACCTGAGGCCCCAAGGGTGAGTGAGATCTTCCTGTCCCAGCCCCGGGGGCACCGCCTTCCTGTCCACAGCCACCTGCCTAGGGGCAGCCGGTCCTCAGAGACCCGGGAGGGGCTCCGTGTGGACATTTGCAAATGGGGAATCCACAATTTCCACCACACCGAGGTCCCCCAGCCCAGGACGTGGTGGCCTCTCCACGCTGATGTGGTATCAGACTCTCACCCTGGCGCTTGGTTGCACCGCTGTGCTGAGCTGAACGTGGGTCTCGCTCAGCCTCTGTGAGGCACTTTGGCCTCCTCTCTGCCTTGCTGACACGGTGTTGATGTGGTTGTTTATGAATGTAGTTTCCTTCCAATAATTTCATACTTCCAGGGAACGTGCAATCGCAGCACAGAGTACTCATTGTCCTGCCTTCAGAGTCCCCAGCGTCATTGCTGTGAGAGATTTTCTACTTCACAGTAAGTACTCCCGTGTGTTTTACAGCAGCAACACTCTCCCAGGTGACCACCGTTAACCCCCAAATCAGGAAATACACGTTTCTCCGTGACAGTCCAATCCGCTAGGCCCACTTCACTGCCTTCCCCAAGTGGGAGAAAAACGTATCTTTTCCTTTGGTTGCAGTTTTCTTTTTCTGGAACTGTTTCTGAGACTGTCCCTCGGTCTCCCAGCCTTAGCAGGTCTAAAGAGCAGAGATGACTCCAAGGTGGGTCTGGCCAGTGTTTCCTCCTGAGCAGATACAGACCCTGCGTTCCCAGCAGGAACGCCCTCGTTTATGCTGTGCTCTCTCAGTGTAGCCCACCAGGAGCAGCACAGATCCCCCACCCCACTGGCGATCTCAACCTGACGATGGAAAACACCACTTTACAGACTCAGATCTCATCACGTCACTCTCCTGGTTAAAGACTTTGCCGCTGGTTTCCTACTGGCCTTGGAAAAGCAACAGAGGACTGACCATGGCCTCCAGACACGGAACACTGCTGGCTGCTGCCCTCTCCCGTCAGTTCACCGCAACTGCCTGCAGTGTGCTCTGCTCTCACTTTCAGGTACACAGCAGGGTTTTGGTGTCTCAGGGTTTTTATTCAGGTTCCCTCAACGCATCCACCCAGTGGACACCCTTAGCAAATTTTCTAAGGGGTTGTACAGCTAAATCCTTAAGGTCACACCAGTTTGTGATATCTAACAGTAGAAAAGTTCATAACATGATTCTTCCAAAGACAAAAAAATTCATTATTTGGTATATCATCTGTTCGTTTGATTTATATATAGAACAAAGAAATGGTAGCTACAAACAGTTTATATTTGGGATAACTAGTAAAGAAAAACTAAATCTCACTGCCAAATGAAAGGCAAATGGCCCAATTGATCATGGAAATTTCATAAGAATTTACTGAACCACATGTTACCTTGCTGTATTCTCTAGCCGTGTGTGTGTGTGTGTGTGTGTGTGTGTGTGTGTGTGTGTGTGGGCGCGCGTGTGCGCGTGCATGTGCGTGTCCAGCGTTGCAAGGTATTTCAGGTTTAAACACTTATCTTTACATCACCAGTCAATATAGTTAAGTGATAAAGTCCTAGTCCATATTATGACAATGTATATAAATATTTGAAAGCACCATTTAAAATTTCACCATCTTAGCCGTTTGTGAATATACAACTCAATGGAATGTCATACATTGGCAGTGTTGTGCATCCATCTATCTGTTAATAGTTTCAGATCATTTTTTTTCCTCTGAAGGAAACTCAGAACCCAGTAAAAAGTCACTTTCGTTTCCCTGTCCCCCAAGTCCCTGGCAAGCACTAATCTCCTTTTCACCTCTGTGGATTTGCCTGCTCTAGAGATTTCATATAAATGCACTCATATGATACGTGGCCTTTTGTGCTGGTTTCTTTCACTTAGGACGTTTTCAAGGTTCATCCATGTTGCAACATACATCAGTACTTCATTCCTTTTTTTCTGTATGATTAAATACATACAGCATTCACCGTTTTAACCATTTTTAAGCACACAGTTCAGTGACATTAACCACATGCGCATTGTTGTGTGGCCATCACCACCATCCATATCCAGAATTTCTTTCATCTGCCCCAAGTGGAACTCTGTACTCACTAAACACCCACTTCCTATTCCCTCTCCCCCCAGCCCCAGGAAACGACTCCAGGTACCTCATAAGTAGAGAATCCTGTATCTGTTCTTGTGTGGCTGGGTTGTTTCACTTAGCCTACTGACTCAAGGTTCATCCATGTTGTCACGTATGTCCGAATTTCCTCATTTTTAAGGCTGAATAATATTTCATTGTGTGGATGGACCACATTTCATTTGTCTACTCATCTGTCAGTGGACACTTGTGTTACTTCCATCTTTTGGCACAGTGAATAATGCTGCCGTGAACGTGGGTGTTCAAGTCCCCGGTTTCGGTCCTTTTGAGTAAATAGCCAGAAGTGGAATCACTGTGTTGTAAGTTAATTCCATGCTTAATTTTTGAGGTACTGCCATATTGTGTTCCATAGCAGCTACTCCGTTTTAGTTTCTCTTTCCTTTTTATGGCCTAATAATAAATATATTAGATTATGATATACCTAATTTTGCTTATCCATTCATCTGTTGATGGATGTTTGGGTTGTTTGCACCTTTTGGCTATTGTGAA